GAACCGGGGATTGACCTCAGGTCAGGAAGTGCTTATTCCACTGAGCCATCTCCTCAGCCCCAAATGGCAGAAGATTTTTTTGGGCTGGCTCAGAATGCCTTCAGGGCATGTTTGGCTGGCTGGAGTTGTGGAGATCGAACCACAGCAACCTGAGGCTGACTGCTTTGTTGAAGCAGCCAGCTCTATTAGTTTTGGGGTATAAATATTACTTTGAAAACAGATGACTTTGTCATGAACAGGCTGTTTTGAAAACTACATACACTGAAAATTCTGCACATGATCTCAGGAGTTTATAAATTCTCTGAAAAAAACTAATTTATAGAACTACAACTACTACTACTAATTACTATAAATCAGACTTCTCAGAATTAATTGTAAAAAAAGGATTATGCTAAATTAGCTGTCATTTACTAAAAATGAAATCTGATGCAAATGTATTATACGCTGAAATACAGTGTACCAAATGTTTTATACATCTCATTTAATACTTATTTATCTCATTTAATAGTTCCACAAACCTAGAGGTATAGGTACTATTCTTTTTTTTTTTTTTTTTGAAACAAGGTTTTACTATATAGTTCAGTCTGGCCTGGAACTTACAGTGATCCTCCTGCCTTAGTTTGCTAATTCTCAGACTACAGGTGTTTACCAGTGGGCTCAGAATATTCTCATTTTAAAATAAGGAAAATAGGGCTTATAAAGTTTAAGTGGCACAGCAACAGTAGAGGAGAAGTTAAGGTTTGATTTACAATCCATGTTTTCATTGTATACTGTATTAGTAATATAAAATGCAGTATTAAATACATTTTAAAAAATCACTCCAATATCTCTTTTTTAAATCACGCAGAAACTAAACTTTGAGTCACAATCTGTACAAGGGCACACAAAGGCAGTGTTCTTTTTTTCCCCCCTTGGAGTTGAGAAGACTAGGAGACTAGAGAGTTCTGTAATTAGAACACCTGGACTTGGATCCTGTGTTATCCCAAAGTGCCCGTATGACTGAACAAAGTTTTTAAACTTCTCTGCATCTGTATGGATTTAGGCTGACATAAATGCAGCCATGGTACTACCACGATTGTCCCAGAGTAACCCTAGTCACTTTTTCCTCAATAGTTGACCACACTACTACTGGAAAGTCAGATTTCATCATAAGCTAACAGTCTTATACAGTATACTTGTGAAAGTTCGCAACTCAAAGGTTTGCGAGTTGGAGACCTATTGTATAGCACAGATGTGCATCAGTGAACTAGGCCCTTTAGCCTGAGATAAGTTAGGTACATTGAGACCTAGATGAGATCACTTGATCCTAACCGGTATGTCCAGTTCTCCTCTGACTCAAACTTGGGGTATCCAGTTGCTCTTTCTGCCACTGCCACTCTGTTAATTCCCCCAAATAACTGCAGTTTGTGCAATCATGAATCCCTTTCTTTAGTCTTTAGCCCTTGCAGTCCAGTTCTCACACTGGAGGAAAAGGTTGTTTGGGAACAGTGACTTAGCTTCCTTATGGCAAAGTGAGGACTATGGTATGAACCTCATAGTGCTGTGAAGTTTAAATAAATGCTTACGTATGAAACCCATAGCTGCCACTACTCTCTAGTATTTAACTTCCTGTTAATGGCTTGTGTCTACATGTCTTCCCAAGGCCTCAAGCACACATAGGCAAGGCTTCTTGGAGGTTAGATCTAGGGTGTGTGATCCCAGGATCAAGGGTGGGCATCCTGGATAAGACATAATAAGTGATAGGAAGAGGGGGTTATCACTTGTTGCCTGCTTTCCTGCCTTCTGCCTGACATGAACTGTTGTTCCTCTGTGATGCCCTTTTGCCATATCACCATGCCTTGGAGCCAGCCTATTATGGACTGAAATCTCTATAAACTGTGAACTAAATAAACTTTTCCTCCCTTAACTTTGGGTGTCAAGTATTTTGTCTTAGCAGTGAGAAAGGTAACTAAGATACTTCCTGTATTTAAATGGTCAGTGTTACCCCCTTAGACTCCTCTCTGTACAGGGCTGAGCCCCAAGGAGACAAAACTGCTGTGTTCAGGCTGACAGTGGAGATAGTAGTACAGAAAGACCATAGGTTTTGGGGACAGATAGACCTAAATTCACAGGTAGGCCTCAGAATATCAGCTTTACAGCTGTGAGCAAGTTTCTTCTTGTGTCTTTTACTTCTCCCCTTCCTCAGCATTCTTGGTTTTCCTTTATCAGTCAGTGATAACACAATAGTCAAATTCAAACCAGAACTTCCAGATGATAGTTTACTGGGAATAACAACTGAGTTTTTAGCCATGAAAGATGAGTTGGTTAAACAGTAAAGAAAAATAGATACATGTTAAAAGGAGTCCTTTAATTTACATAAATTTATCTATATATTCACCTATACTTTTATCTGAAATACCACAGAAGGTGCAGAAAACAGGAAATATTGTTCCCACAGATACTATTTGTGGAAATCATTATAACCACCATGCAATATATCATGGCAGAAATAAACACATTTTAAAAATCTTTTGGAACAGAAAGCTTAAGATTTGTTTTCTTACTTCTTGAAGCTGTTGTGGTATAGATAGGTAAGTCTCTTGCTGCTCTTCTCAAAATTTCTTGTTGTCTTTCTTGGCTGAATTCCTTTACATAACCTTCCTTTTCAGAAGTAGACAAGTAGAACTACAAGAACAAAAATTATGAAATTTTTTAAATCCCAAGATCTTAACTGTCATGCTCAGAAAAAGTTTCTTCTAGAACAGAAAAATGCCCCACCAATATTTTGTTTTCTGAAGGTAACATTCAAACTTCTTAACTTTAAGATAACCCAAATACATTTTAATGGTTTTTTATTTTTATTTTTGGCGGAACTAGGGATTGAACTCAGGCCCTTGCTTGCCAGGGAAGTACTTATTCTACTGAACCACCTCCCCAGCCCCCCAAATACATTGTAATAAAAACTTCGTACAAAACTTATTACTGTTATTATTGCATTTAGTACAGGGTCTACAGTGTCTCACTACGTAGATCGGACTTGTAGTAACCCGCCTGTGTTCAGCTTCCCAAGAGCTGGGATTATAGGCTTGCGCCACCACTCCCAGTCTCAATTACTGTCCCAGCAAGCCCCGGGGGGTGGGGCCAGCATGGCACACCAGGGATCAAACCCCAGTCGCTGTGCTCTGCCTAAGCAGGTCCACTGAGCTAGTCCTTCTGGCCAGTTCTACATACAAATTTTAGAAATTTATCTTCCATTGCAGTGATGGCATAGAATATGAGCTCAACATTTTTGCTTTTTTACAGATAAAGTTAAATTCACCAAAAAGATTTTTGGGGTGCACTGAGGTTTAACATTCATGAAGGGGCTGTAATTCCATTGGATGGCAAGGGACAGTTCCATAGATGGTATAAATTGCCTGAAAGGACAGTTATATATGTATATATATATATACATATATATATCACCGGTGGTTATATATCACTGGTGGTTCAAGCCAGTGGGAATGTGTTAAATCCAAAGTCCTCCCAGCACTCCCAAATGTCTTAATATGTATTTAACTTAGGCCTAGGGTATAGCTCAGAGGATACAGCACTGGTCTGGTATACACAAAGTACTGGGTTCAATTTCTAGCCCTCAAAAGAGAGGAATACACACACACACACACACACACACACACACACACACAGTTTTTTCTTAAATCAAAATGTTATTTAAAACTCTCAGGGAGTACGTGTGTGTGTGTGTGTGTGTGTGTGTGTGTGTGTGTGTACAGGGTCTCACTATGCAGCTCAGACTCCTAGTGATTCTCCTGTTTTCAGCCTCCCCAGCATTGAGATTGCTGGTGTGCGCCACCGTTCTTGGACTCAGTCTCTGGCTCAGGGCACCCTGGGGGAGTGGGACTAGCACAGCATGTGTACAGGGGATTAAACCCCTATCCCTGTGCTTGCCAAAGCAAGCGCTTAGTCCACTGAGGTATCACTCCCCTCCACTAGTATTTAATTTTTTTTGCGGAACTGGGGTTTGAACTCAGGCCCTTGTGCTTGCCAGGGAAGTGCTTATTCCACTGAGCCATCTCCTGGCCCAGTATTTAATTTTTGAAAGGCTATTCAAAGCTTCATCTGCTTTAAATAGCAGGTGAGACCACAGAATGGGGTTCTGCAAGTTTCTGATTACATGTCTCAATGAGGTCAATATTTTTAACTTTTCAAAAGCTAACAAACAACACTAATTTCTTTAGAATTATCTTTAAAAAATTTTTTTTCTACAATTATCAAGGAAGAAGTGTCTCCTTTATAGAGCTATTTCTTGCCACATGTTTGCTCCCATGAAGTGGCCAGTCTCTGACTTGTTTCTAAAATTTTTAAACAATCATCTCCTGTCTGTCTGTCCGTCTGTCCGTCCATCCTATCCTATCTTGACACAGCTTGGGTTTGTAGTGACCCTCTGATTTCAGCCTCCTCAATGCTGGGATTACAGGAGTGCACCACCATGCCAGTTTTAGTGGCTGGCAGGGCGTGTCTGGGGTTCCAGGGCTGGCATAGCATGTAGCACTGAGGTTTGAACCCGGATCCTTGTGCTTGCCAGGGAGGCACTAAGACTGCCGAGCTATCTCTCCAGTCCCTGACTCCTTTGTTTTTCCTAGTTTTTTTTTTTTTTTTTTTTTTGTACTGGGAATCAAAATCAAACTCATGACCTTGTGCTTGTCAGGCAGATGCTGTGCCACTGAGCTAAATCCCTGGCTCTGCCTCATTTCTTGTAAACATAAAATTTTGCCTACCAAAATTTTCTCCATTGCTCGTATTTACCCAGCATCTTCAGGACTTTCCTGTTTATGCTTGGGTTTCATATAATCAGGTACTTTTAAGTTTCTAACAGTCTATTTCAGATTTTCTTTGTAAAATTAAAAATAAAAATAGCTTGAGACTTGCTCTTAATGATGTTTTATATATATTTTTTAAATTTTTTATTTATGTTTTTGGTACAGGGTCTCGTTACACAGCTCAGACTCATAGTGATCCTCTTGTTTTCAGCCTCCCCAGTGCTGGCATTACAGGTGTGTGCAACCATGCCTGATCTCAGTGACCAGCTAAATGTGCCTAGGGGTGGGGCCAAAGTGGCATATGGTGCCAGAGACTGAATCTCAGCCACTGCACTTGCCTAAGCAGGTGCTTAGTCCACTGAGCTATCCAGTCAGCACTGTTTTATATTTTTAACAACGTTGCTCAATTATCATTTACTTGGAGAACTTTTATCCAAAAGTCTAAGAATGGTAACCAAAATTCTAGCTTCACCTATTGGAGAAGTATTTTGGTGTCCTAACTCCACTATCAAAGCTTTATGTCTGTTCAGCTATAAACAAGGCAATGGCTTGGCTCCGCATTGGGGAAATTATAATTCCAAGAGGTTCAGAAAAGTCTTGAAGATTGTAGGACTATTAGCAGAGCTGATATTAAGACTAGAGGTCTTATGCTCAAGTGTAGTACACTTTCCTCTGTACTTTCATAAAATGTTCTCCCTTTTTATAGATTGCTACTGTAAATTGGCTAAACAGTGCAATTCTGGAAGAGTCTATTTAGATGTATTTAGCTTGGCTTCTAGAAATATTCACATGATTTTTATTTTAAGACAGGGTCTCACTATGCAGTTTAGGCTGGTCTGGTTGTCTTGAACTTGCAATGATCCTCCTGCTTTAGCCTCCCAAGTGCAGGGATTACAGGCCTATGCCACCACACCTGGCTTACATGATCTTAAATGTGAAATCTTTAAGATTTTGGAGGGCTCTTATCCCTACCACAGGCTGGGCTCTTCAGACATTTGACAGGTTTATCCCCTCGAGAATGCTTTCAGAGATAGAAACAAGATCACAATGTCAAATATATGGGGGAGGATCTGATCACACCTTAGCTTTCTTGTAAAATCTCAACAGATTTCCCTAGGTTATACTATTTTATTTATCCCAGCTCGATACTCTTCCTTTTATTAATTTTCTTTAAGTTTATAAAATTATAAAAATTTAAAAAATTTTAAGAGAATTTTAAGGAATAAAACAAAAATTAAATTCTTAAGATTTTTGAAATTACCATTAAAAGTCTATTTTCATTCAAAACTATTCAATATATTCAAATTTGTGAAATGCCATTATTGTCTTTTCTGGGCTTGGGGGTGGGAGGTGATAGGGTCTTGCTATATAGTTCAGGCAGCTTCCCAAGTACTGAGATTACAGGTATGTGCCGCCACACCAGGCTATTTATTGTCTTTAACTCAGTGTTTAAGTATATATTAGGCTAGGGAGTATATCTCTGTGGTAGGCTGCATTTGTGTACAATCATCAAAACAAATCTATTTTTTAAAGAACATTAAATGTTATTTATGGAATGAATGATTGAGTCAGTGTATTTCAGTGGCCTCAAACTCCTACATTAAAGTGATTCCTCTGCCTCAGTCTCCTGATTGGCTAAGACTATAGGCACATACCACAGTGCTATCAATAAATACATATAAAATACTAATTAAGAGCCAGATCTTATATCCAAGGCTGAATAAAAAACCGTGCCTTTATAAAGCAAATTCTCAGTCCAGCATATTGGTGGATGCCTATAATCCTAACATTTGGGGAGGCTGAGGTAGGAAGGTGGCACAAGTTCAAGGCCAAGCTGAACTATAAAGCAAGACTCTTTCAAAAAGCCAAAGAAAGGAAAGGGCGGGGGGAAGCACTGTCTAATAAGAAAGTCAGCCATGAAAACAAAGAATAGCAAAATACAAATTAGCCTAAGTACATAGTCAACATTTTATCAGGTACACTGAAAGGCCCCTTGAGAGCCTGGAGGAGCTGCCAATGAAACTTGCTTGGAGACATAATACCTAAACTGGTCTTCTGAAAGATAAACATCAAACTTTCAGGAAGACAAAGGAAAGAGAACAGCGCATGGGAAACACATAGATGAGAACACACATGCTGCATTCGGTGCAAAACACTGGTGCTTAGCTCCATACAGAAGCAGTAAATGAGGTTAAGTAAACTTTTAGTTCATGGGGACTACTACCGGGTACTATGAAAGTGAGCAAAAGCTTTACCTCACATAGACTGAAAACCTTGAGGATTACTAGAGTGCTGGAACCACATCTTCTCTTTAGAAAAAAATGACATCTGATGATGGGAGATGTCTACCAGCTATTCACATGTTGCCTCCTTCTCATCACCCTCCATTCAGTTTTCTAACCATTCACCTGCTAAATACAGGGTCTAATCTAAGTAATGGGGGGAAAACAGTAAACAGAGCTTTCCTTCAAAAAGCTTCGTGGAAGAAATACTTTTAAAAGCCATAGCTCGAATGCTACTTCCTCAGGCTTTTTTGGCCACACTACCTAAATGAGCTTTTGTTCTGTTATGTTCTATCATATGATGTTCCTTTTTTCTAAATCTATCTCAATTTTATAAATTTATTGCAATTTGTAATTATTATTTGTTTGCTCATTTACCATTTGTCTATGCATGTAAAATGTAAAGACTATGTCTTTTTTTTTTTTTTTAACTTCTCTGTACCTAGAACAGAGTCAGACAGGTATTCAGTAAGTTTCCACTGCTTGAAAAAATGGTGGAAAAGTCTGTTCTTATAACGTTCCTCAAAACTTACTTTTTGGTTTTAACCCATTCAGTTCTCCTAGGCCTGACTCCAAAATGTTGCTCTAATCTCTGAACTAGAGCCCTCTTAAGACAGCTGCATTAGCACCAACCTCAAACTTACGCTGCTTCTATGGTACTGTGTAGATCGACATTACGTAAGTTTAGTGAACAAGTAATTTTATATTCTTGTTATTGGCAGTCACTAGAGCTGAGCTTAGCTGGCTCTTGAGCATTTCATAATTTAGTAATTCTTTCAATATTTACTGAACAGTAAGTACAAGCAAGATTGGTAGTGGGTGCTGGGAGGACAGCAGCACATATGATGATAATACTCTTGTCACAGATTTACAGTTAATTAGCTAATACATGAAAGTAAAGATATAAACAAATAAAAAATGAAAAAATAAAAGTGAAGGTGTAATTACAACCAGGTGTGGTTGTGCACACCTATAATCCCATCACTCCGGAGGCTGAGGCAGGGGGATCCTTGCAGTTTGAGCTCAGCCTGGGCTACAAAATGAGCTCAAGGCCAGCCTGAACTGCATAGTGAGATCCTGTCTCAAAAATATAATAAATAAATAAATAAATTCAATTACAATACTATATGACAAATTCTATGACAGGGCAAGTGTAGAATGCTGCTGGATAAAAGCTTGAGTAGTCAGACGAATTTATAGGAGTGAAGATGAAGAGTAGATATGAAGTCTTAAATGAATGAAGTGTACTAAAAAAAAAAACAGAAAAAGAAAAATAACATTTAGATAGCATTTATTATGTGTTAAGCATTAAGCACTATACATAATATATATACATATATATATATTTCATCATGTAAGTTATAACCATCCACATAAAGCTGATTCATTCAATGCTTACAATAATTTCATAGAGATGTGCCACTGTGGCCCTCACTTATAACAGAGAAGGGCAAAGTCTCCAGAGTCACATAGCCAGCGAATGATTTGGTTCCAGAAATATGACAGGTTTTTTTTTTCTTCAGATAGGGTGGCATTATGTAGCCCAGGCTGGCTTCAAACTCACAGTTATCTTCCTGCCTAAGCCTCTGAGTGCTGGGATTATAGGTGTGCACCACCACATCTGGCTTGGTTCCAGCATTTGAGTTCTCAACCTCTATACTATTTTTCTCAAATATATTTCAGAATAATTTTTGCCTATTTTGTATTATTGTAATCATATTTTGTATTTATCTTTTAAACATGCTGTATTTCCAATGACCATCATTACTAGTAATTCAGTAAATAAAAGCAGTTGTTTTTTAACTTAAGAGATTAAGAAATGAATAGTCGTTCATAACAAAACTTTAAGGGTTGATGGACTACTGGCAAACGTTCAAAGAATGTCAAAATGAAACATTATTATTTATGGTTTATTTTAGCTCACAGAACAAAAACATGTATCCAGAATAAGGGGCAAATGACCATGGAATCATCTGCATTAATTTTTACTGCATGTTTAATACGATATAGCAATGTCTTCCCAGGGGAAAAGTACTAGGATGTTTACTGCGCCCATTTCTAACAGCCCTATACCAACCTCCTTCCAAATGCTTATCAACGGCAGACTAATATATAAAATTGTCATATACCACAGCTGAATACTAAGCAGTAATGAAAATGAATGACCTACAACTTTAAAAGATATGCAATAACAGATGAATCTCATAAATACAACAGTAATAAGGCATACATACAAACATAGAAGACTAACAGTATATTTTATATACTCCTAACATGACTATTCAAAGCAATTACAAAACCAAGCAAAATTAATCTATGCCATTAGAAGGTAGAAGTGAATTCTCACAAAGTGGGTGACTGGAAGGAAGCATGAAGAGGTTGATGGGATGCTGGGGATATTAGTTCATGAACCTGACTGCTGGTGGTTAAACAGATGTATTTATTCAGTTCATGAATACACACGGCATATAAACATTTCCGCACATGTTTTCCATTAAAAAGAAAAATATATTACTTTATATTTTTAATGAATTTTTAAAAATATGAAGGAAAACAATATTACCATCATAGTCCTCTAAGTTTTTTTTTTTTTTGTAAGTCAGGATTGCTTTTTTTTTTTTTTTTTTTTTTTTTAAAAAATTTTAAAAAAAAAAAAAAAAAAAAAATTTCCCACTAATGAAAAAAATTTTTTTTTTTTTTTTTTTTTTTTTTTTTTTTTTTAGCAGAACCAGGGATTGAACTCAGGCCCTTGCGCTTGCCAGGAAGGCACTTATTCCACTGAGCCATCTGCCCGGTCCCGTCCTCTAATTTTTGAGTAATAATCATGCAGTAGGTACTAAGTTAAAAGGTTTACTTTCAGAAATCTAAAAAACACTGCAGCCATAGGCATATTTATTAGTTACATTGTTATGTGGATGAGAAAACTGAAGGTCAGAGAGCGGGAAAATCAAATTCAGCCACTCCTAATTCTAGAGTAAATATTCTTAACGATCTTGCTATGCTAAATTTTCAATGAAGGAAGAGTTCAACCTACTGCACATAAATGTTTACCTATATTATTTTCTAAGTGGAACCTCCAGTTAGGAGAAAAATTAGTCATAACGACATGTGGTAAGCAATAGCTTGAACAATATTCCCCCACAATTTAATAATTCTCTTTAGTTCCAATATATCTATTCATGCCTGAGCAGATGTAAATAAACTCCACTTCTCTAACTGAATTCTGTCCCTAATCTGTTTTTACTCCAGTAATACAAACTACACCTCTTTAAGAAAACATGAAAAAAAATAAAAAAAATAAAGAAAACATGGCATGACAAAAAAGTATTAGACTTTTACTAAGCTACATCAATGAATTTGTGTCTGAGAATAATAGGTTGGTGACTCACATTCACAATATGGTTTTATTAAGCAATTTTATGAATGGAAACACAACAAATGTATTACATAATTTTAACATAGGTAACACAAGGGAAAAATCCATAATAAATTAAAGCATTTGGTAATTTACCAACATTAAATTTACCTCTTTGGAGGGGGTAGCGGGAGATGTGAATATTGTCATCCAATAGGACCATACAAACATAACAAAGAACAGATGGAAAGCCACAAGGTAAACAACGGTCTTTCCTGGTAAATAAAAACAAATAATGTTTCATTGAATCTGGGTGAAAATAAGAAACAGCATTACATTAAAACACAGTATTTGGATTAAGGAGACTTAATCTAATAAAAATTTAATTAAGATCTATTAAAACCTCAGAAAATGAATTTTTTAATCTACATGATGCAACATTACTACATACAAAGAAATGCTCTGTTCCTGTATAAAAGGATTATCAGTCTGGTTATTAAGTTTCTAGGATTAGAGCTAAAAACACTTTTTTACTATTAATACTCGATATTTCAAGATTTTCCTAAACATTAATTTTAAATTACTTAAAAGTCATTTAAAACTAGCCATCACTATGAACATTAAATCCAGGAAACTGTAAAGTGAAAATTAAATTACCATGACCAGGAACAATGAGTAAACTTGAATAACTCAATCACTGTTTACAAGAAAAGAACACAAAATTTCATTTTCTCATCCAACACAGGCTAACATGAAAAATTCTAACCATGCTTAATCCACAACTGTCTCCCTGTGGATCAAAATCTTTATCTCCAAATGTTAACTCATTGACAAAACTAAGCTTTTTTGTATGTGGGTGGTGTGTGTTTTGTAGTTTTTCTATTTCAAAGAAGGATTGGTTTCTGTAAGAATTATGTAAACAAGAACTATCTACCAGATTCTTGAACTCTTTTCCAGTTTTGAATGCCCACAGGCCCACTGTTAAGGACAAAGTACAGGCAAAATATAAAAGTTTAAGAGCCAGGGAGATGGCTCAGTAGAATAAGTGCTTGCCTGGCAAGCACAAGACCCTGAGTGCAATCCCTGGTTCTGAGAAAAAAAAAAAAAAAAAAATAAGTAAATAAACTTTTTAGGGCTGGCAAGATAGCTCAGCAGTCTAAAGCACCTGCTTTGGCAAAACTTAGGCAGGCGCAGGGGATAGCGGTTCAATCCCCAGCACCACATACCATTCCAGCCCCACCTTCAGGGTGGGTTGAGCCAGCAAAAAAAAAAAAAAAGACAATGAGGCATTATCACCAGGATAAATAAATACACGACAATAAATAAAAATAAAACAACACAGGACTTAAAAAAACAAACAACTTTTTAGAGTTCAGATCAAATCTTTTCCTCCAAGGTAGTCTTCATTACTTTCAGAATTCACTACCTCTTCATATTATATTCCCCAAATAATTTGCTCAAAACTTTAAATTAAACACTTGTTTCAAAAAGTGTTGCTAAAGAAAATGAAAATAACTTGTAACAGTGCCTGGCACATAAAAAATCCTTAGTAGGGCTAGGCATATAGTTCAATCCCTGATACAAAAAAACCCCAAAAAACAAAAAACAACTTCCCTCCCCCCCACCAAAACAACAACAACAACAAAAAACCCTCAACCAACAAAAAAATCCAATAAATCCTCAGTAAATACTGGCTCTCATTATAATCACTACCAGGTAGTTTTGTCCTCTTCTCTTTAATCTAGTTCCTTCTGTACATTCCCTAGTCAGTATTTATCATGGTTCAAAACTGATGCAGTTTTGCCTGTTCTGCAGTGAAACATTAAGAACAGTAATGTTTTTATAAATCTAACCTACAGTTCAACTGGAACTGCTGATTTCACTTAGGTTTTTTTTTTTTTTGGGTAGCGGGGATCAAACTCATGACCTTGCACTTGCCAGACAGCTGCTTATGCTGCTGGGCTATATCCCTGGCCCTAGATTACTTTTATAATTTTTAAAAATATTCATTCTTTTTAAATAAAATAATGATTTAACAGACTGACAATTCTGTTGAAACCCAATGTCTTCTTTTGAAATTGTACTGGTCAATTCCAGATGTTATGGACTAGAATCCCAGACACAGGTAATTAATGTAGAATCCAAGCGCTCAAATGCCTCTCTTATTTCCTAGATAATCAGTACAATTATTATTATTATTTTGGCACTGGGGATCAAACGCAGGACCTTGCAATTGCCAGATGCTTATACCTCTGAGATATCTCCCCAGCCCCAGTATAATTATTTCTAATTCTTACTAATAGTGTTTATTTATTTTTTGGTGGAACTGGAGATTGAACCCAGGCCCTTGTGCTTGCCAGGCAAGCACTTATTCTACTGAGCTATCTCCTTGGCCCAATTACTTCTAATTCTTGCTTTTAAAATTTTTTCAAAGTGAACTTCTCACTATTTTAACTGTAATTGCATGGATGGATGCCCATTCCATTTGGATTACTGCAAAAGCCACTGGTCTCTTTCCTTTTTGGTCTTTCTTGCTTTGATTCCCCCTCTGTGGTCAATAGGAAATGCACTGCCCTCGTTTCTTCTCCCTTGTCTTGGTTACTTTTCTGTCACTGCTGGGACAAAAATATCTGATGCTCAAAATTAAGGAAGGAAAGGTTTATTTAGCTCATAGTGGAGGTTTCAATTCATACTTGGCTGCACCAAGAAAGAGTGGCACACTGCAGAGGACCACAATTCATGGTGGTGGAAGACAGCAAAACAGCAAAAAAGTGAAAGGAAGAAGCAGAAAGAGCAAGCCTCTTTTCCTCCCTTATATTGTATGCAGGCTGTCTGCCCCAGGGTGGGTGTAGCATTCACACCCATAATTCCACCACTGGATCATGAATCAATCACAAACTCTAGAAGCCTGCCCATGATTGGATGAGACTTTGGGAGGACATCTAGATAGAAACCATAACATCCCTCTTGATTGAGAAATTCTTGGAAAGTAACTCCATCTGCATGGTCAATGCATCTTACTAACAATGAAAATTCCTAGTCACCATATCTGACTACAGCCACTCAAAATTACCATTATTGTATAGTGATTTATTTCTATCCCCCCCCCCATAGTCTTGTATAGTATTCTTCAAGGTGACAAACAGAAGCACTGAGGCTAAGAAAATTTAGTATCATGTCTAATACTACTAAGTGATAATACCAGAACTTGAACTGTATCTAATAGTTTGATAAAACTCCAAGGTTATTTTTACTATATAATCCCTAAAATTGAATTTTCTCCATTTTTTAACCCTAAATGGTCACATGGTCACATTCTTTTTTTTTTTGGCAGAACGGGGGATTGAACTCAGGTCCTTGTGCCTGCCAGACAAGCACTTATTCTACTGAGCTATCTCCCCGGCCCTAAATGGTCACATTCTAAGCCAACATCTGATGCCAAGATAAAATCCTACAACTTCCATTTTTTTGGGTCACTTTTATTTATTCATTTTTTTGAGACAAGGTCTTGCTATGTGGTCTAGCCGGGCCTTGAACTCTCAGTAATTCTCCTTTCTGAGCTTCCCAAGTGGTGGAACTATAGGGGCACACTACCACGCCCTGCTTTTCCTTCCACTTTCAAACGTTGCTCTTCCCACTTCTACTACAGACTGTCATAAACAGGACATTCTGGCTTCTCAAAATCTGCACTCCTCTGTGCCAATAATGTTAAACCTTTTAGAGAGGAACACCTGAACTGCAATTCCAAACCCACTTCTTTATAGCAAAGTGATAGCACTACAGTTAAGCCTGAATACTAAGGCTTTAGTTTAGAAAAACAACATCTTTTGTCCTTAAAACAAAAGACAAAAAAAAGGCGTGCTCTATGCTATTAGCTCCCTCTAGTGAACCTTGTGAACTACATAGTGGATTCAAAATTGGTGTTTCATGTTTTTTTTTCACCTAGCTCACTTCCATTATTTCTTATCTGGACCCCCACATTCAATCAAGCTTATCACTTTGCATCTATACACTACTGCATAGCTTCTGCATAAGTTGGAAGACTTAGGTATGTTAAAGTTTTTTTCTTTTTTGTACATAAAATTTTTTTCTTTTTTACTTTTTTTTTTAAAGAGAAAAAATCATTTAAAAAATTAGAAACAATACAAAATTCTACTGAACAAGAGAGGTTCAACAATGGCTGTTACACTACACATTGGTGTCTTAAAATTAGTTGTTCAGATTAGCAGATACAAGCGTGCAAAATTGGTTAAAAAATTAAGAAAATGTAAGCATTAACTGTTCCTTTCAATAGACCAGCAGAAATCAGCAGTACAATTACTGACCTATCCTGTGTAAATATACATATTTTTCCCCTTTTTTCTTTCCTCCTTTCCCTCATCCCAGTTGTTTTTTCCTTTTGAGCAGTTTCTTTCCCTCTCATAGTACTGTACCTTTCAGGGGGCCAGGGAGATGGCTCAGTAGAATAAGCGCTTGCTTGGCAAATGCAAGGGCCGGAGTTCAATCCCCAGTTCCACCAAAAAAACAAAACGAAACAAAACAAAACAAACAAAAACAAAAACAAAAAAAACCCAAAAACTGTACCTTTCAGATTTTACTTTTTCAGGTTCTTACAGTAGGGATAAATTTGTTAATCACTTATAACTAAGACCAGCACACAAAATAGGGTCTTGAAATACTTAATATTTAATACATTTTAAAATGATTTCTTCTCTGTGAGCACAAAACAGAAATGGTATGCTTTAACATACATTCTCAGTTAAAAAAAAAAGTTAAAATTAATCTGATCATGATACCTAAAATATAGTAAGTACTGAACAGGTGGTAATTATAAATAATTTAAGATATAGCTACTAAAGTTCAGTCATGTGAGTTAATGGGCAAACTTCTATCACACATACATGCTTTAAGTCAATGGTTGTAACATATGAAGTAAAAACCTACACTAAGTAAATTAAATCAAAGCTCAAATCTGAGCCTATAAATCAAAAAGTATGTGTTAAAAAATTACCAGTGACTACATTAAAAACAAAAACATGAAAGATTACTTTAGAGACACAGTAAAAATAATCCCAAGAAGTAACAGAAAATTAAAAGTTCTGAGAACTTCTGAAATTCCATTTTATAAAAACTTATTTTTTTTTTTAGAGAGAGTGCCCCAGTACACTGATGGTGGGCTTAAACTTCTGATTCTCATGTCTCAGACCTCAGACTTCCAGAGTGTGAGGATTACAGGTGTGCCATGATATCCCACTGAAATTCTCTGCTTTCTGTATCTGCACTTTCAGCACTTAGCACAAAGTTGTAATTTAAAGTAACATAGGGCTATCAAAACTGCTATGCTTCTTTTGTTACTGAAAAATGAGACATTTAGGTAAACATGCCTGATGACCTCCAGTAATCAATATTTATTAATAATTCCTTACTATTCAACTGTTTGAGAAATTCTCTATTTTTGTATGTTAAAATCAAATTTTGTTATAAGACATGGTTGTATACATCTGTAACCCTGGCACTCTGGGAGACTGAGGCAAGATTGAAGTTCAAGAAACTTAATGAGTGTCTCA